GTCCCTTCTAGCCAACTCGCTCCGTAATCCTATGAGACTGACGAGATTTCTTTGTAGTATCAGATAGTTATTTTTCCCTCATAATTCTTTCCTTTCCTTTTCTCCCTCCTCTCCAAAGGACAAGAAAACACTTCCCCAAAGGTTGTTCATTCCATTGAATTCCTAACAGCAACTATCGGATGCCTCTTCTTTTTTCGTATACCTGCCAACACATTTTACGATGACGAAGATGGCAACTCAACTCAGTTAGCTCTACAAATCATTCCAGCTGATGGCTCTCCATTGGGATCAGAAAGCTGGCTGCAATTTAACACCTCTCAGCAAACCATGCATGGCTATCCCCTCGATATTGATTTCCAGTATTCGCCTCAGGAGTTTATTCTGTCTGCCACAGATTCAGGAGGACTGACTGCCTGGGAATCCTTCACCATTGAGCTTCTGAAGCCCACCAATGTACCATGCCACCTTTACACCGTCAGAACAAAAAACAGCTACTACTCTTTCCTGAGAGAGAGGAAAAGGATTAGTTTGTTTCTGGAGGAGCTCTCCCTCTATTTGAGCTCCAGCAGTCCCAAAGACATCATGGTGATCACTCTCAAACCTGGGTCCACAGTAATCTCATGGTATAACAGTTCACTGTGTACAAGTGCCAACAGGTCTTCCAGCTGGTGCGCAAAAGATGAAATCCAGGAAGCGCTAGAGAAATTAAGAGTGCCGGATGGGTATGTTAGCCCACACTTTGTCCAAGCAATGTTGCCAGAATACAAAATTGATGTCATTTTCAACATTTCATATAGTGAAGTCTGCTTTCCCATTACAAAGCCCTTCGATGGGTCTTTCAACATTACTGTGCCCACACTTCAAGACAAGAATGACTCCACAATTAGGAAGATCCCACCTGCCTTACTAAGCAGTCTTTGTGTCACTGTTGGGGTGGTTCTGATAATATTGGTTTACTGTTTTTGCAAGTATCACAGGAAGATTCCTGGATCAGAGTCTGTGACATTTCAGAGAAACTCCCAGTTTAGCCATGATGATGTGGAACTGGATGTCCTGAAACCCCGCAAAGCACCTGTACATGAGTGCAGGGCTTCACCTTCACCTCAGTTATGGATACCACCTTCGGTATCACTTACCTCCCAAGAGCAGTGTTCTAGGTCAGTAAGACTGCCTCACATCATACCATCTTTCCAGCCGCCAAAATACCAACTCCCTCCCCATTATCAAGCGGGTATGACCAGGGCAATATCCACAGATTTACATTAAGATCTTTTAAATTATATTAAGAGCAAATCTACAAAAAGACAATTTGTACTAGAATGTGCTATCCTTATTACTCAAAAAAGTCATAAGCAGTTAGTGATTTTACCATTTTTCAATTTAAAATAGAACATACTAAACCTATGCCTGATGAAGAGGCAGTAGCAAAATCAGAACCCTAAAACTAAGTACTAGAACAAAATGCCAAGTAAAGCAGGTAAAAGAATCTATAGATGAGGTGGGTAAAGTGATATGTCTGCACAAATCAGAACAAGAAAATGTATACCAAGCTGATGCTGGTAGGAATGAGGGGTGACAGCCAGTACTGAGTAAAACTAACTCCATTATGACTCCCTGATCCATAAATACACCTTTTACATAGAAGAGGCAGACTGTCAGAAAGACCATCACAAAACATGATGTTTCCATTGAAATTCAGAGGTGGTACAACCCTTGAGTCTCTATGTCATCTTCGAATTTTAGATTAGTATTTTCAAAAAAAGCATCCAATAATTGTCCCTCTCTCATGGATAATATTGTCCTCAATCTTTCAAAACTTTTTTTAGTGTTTCTATTAAATACATTATATGTAGCATTTATAAAGGCAATGGTAGCTACTTAACATGAAACTCTTCCCATTAGGTAATTGTGTAATGTACTTTTAAAAATACATTTTAAAGTTACAGGCTTGCCTTCTTACAGTAAAACTGGCTCTCTTGTCTGCTTCCACCCATGAGAGTTCAAGGACCATAGGGAAGAAAACGTGTAAAAATTTCTAAAAACTTTTCAAATATTTTGAAATCTTTTCAGCTTAATAGATTAACGTATACAAAATTTAACCCATAACTTAATTATGGATTAAACTACTTAATCCATAACTTCCAAATTTAATCTGTAAACTGTTTTAGACCTGAGAAAATCTTCCTTGAACCTGAAAGCACAGTGTGAAATAGGACCAAAGTACCACCAGTACCACCACATAGAAAGGAAAGGAGATACATACAGAATGCCCTTTCCAGAATTGCCACAGGACTTTACTGGAGAAGGTGGATCACCAAAGAGCCTCAGACCACTAACATTACAACTCTGGAGACAGAGTTTCACTAAGCTGTCTAGGAGCAAGAACTCACAGGGTAACTATCCTGTCGTGGTCTGCTCTTGCTGGCAAGGTATGTAGTGGCCACCTATTGTTCTGATGAACTCTGAGCAGAAAGGTATAGAAGGCACCCTGCATACAGGGCAGCCCAATCACCACAAACACTGCTCTAGCACTAGAGAGCAACGAGTTAGCCAAAGAATAGCTTTTGCAGGCTAAAGAACACAGGCACAATTGCGTACTCTTACCATAAGGAAACCAGGCAGAACTGGATCCAGTTTGGGAGCAGGCTGCTGACAAGTCCAAAGGGAATCCAGCCCAGGGATAGATCTGGGAATGGTTCACAACCAGAACAGCTCTCCAGTGGTCCACTTTTATGTTGTAGTGCAGATTAATGTTTGCAAACAACCGGATGCCAATATGACATACCAACACAGGTCCCTGCAGCCTCTGCTGGCTTGCCTTCTCTCCAAACTTAAGATTCACACCACTCAGCAATCCCAACAGTACAGCTCAACCAATAGTCACGGCACAGAAAGAGAACTGGAACAGCTCACTAGCCACAAGCGTACCAAGAGCTACAGGACCAAAGGATTTGAGCAGATTAAATTATATTTGTGTGTAGATTGTACATGTACAATCCACCTCTAGTTACAACATATTTGTGGGAGCAGACAAACAACATGCACTAGTTAGCTGTGCATATGAAAATGTTGCTAACATGTTCGTTTTTTGGGACAGCAGTTGCTCTGTGAATATGATGGTAGTGACAGGATTTACATCTTCTTGCATGAACGAGTAGCACTTGACTGGGTTTACAGTGCTGAATAACTTTTGGATAAATACAAATTCCTCTAGATGACTACTTCAATACCTTCCAGAAGCCATCCAGCTATAAACCAGCTCTAAGGTTCGATGTAAAAGTCAACACAGCAGCAGTAATTTGCTGTGGTCAATAGTCTATATATAAGATTGGTAAAATATAAATCTAAAGGATTACTGCAGGAAACATCAGCCCTTGTAGTATCTAATGTCTCAGTAAAACTCTTCAAGTACTTAGAATACAGGCCCAGTCAGCCACCTTGGAGAATCAGGCCCCATTCATTTAATCACTTAACAGTCTTACCTGGCAGATGTTCCAAAAGTGGAAAATGTAGTTAGTAAACAAGCTAAACAAATACATATTTTAATAGCAGGTGCAGAATTTTTCTTTTCCTCTAATAAAGTATTTAATTCCTGTGCATATTTAAGGACCGCAGCTGAATATTAATGGCACATCAGGAGATGCAATACACACAATTCCAAGGCACAGGATAAGCTTTTCAGTTATACTTCTCTAGACTAGCAACAAATTGCAGAAAGCTGACATTTACACAGTCCCTAGGTTTCAGACTTTAAAACTCCTTCAGTAAACAAGAGAAATATCCAGACTGATATGCAGTACAATCTTGATTAAAAAAATAGAAACTTACGAGAAACAGTAATTCCATGGCAGTTTTCTCCATCAGAACATTTCAGATAGGCTATCAAGAGATGTAGTGATGCAGGACATCCTATTTTCAATTAAGTAGTGAAAATAAAAGTCTTCAGACTTTAGGATCTCCAAAAATTACACATTGCTTCTGTAAAAGCTACATAAGTTTTAAAATGCAATAAAAAATATTATCATGCAAGTACTCTTTAATCACTCTGTAAAAATGGTCCTAAAATCATCTAACAGAAAACACATCTGCATCACAGTGGCTAAATAATCACCTTGAAACTATACATGCTACTTTAACACAGCTGAAGAAAGGACTTAGCTACCAATGTAATCAAAGAATACTTGCATGATATTTGTGTTCAGATCTAGTCATCATGAACTATGGTATCTGAAGTTTCAGGTGAAGAAATACGAATATATTAATTTAGTTTTAGAAAAGCTCACAAAGATGTGTCTTAAATCAACTTAAACTATAACATATCAAATCTTATACAAGCTTATGCAAGCTAGAATAAGGCAACAGATGCAGATCAGAGGAAGGCTGATATACTTGGAGAGCTTAGCTATTCATCTTTCCTTAGCCCACTCAAGTTGACCCATTTGGAAGCCAACCCAAAATCTTACAAGGGATTAGATCACAGACATAGGGTGAGAGTTTTCCTGTTTGGGAATTCTACTCTCCATTAAGAGAAAAAGAGGGTCTACTCAAATAAACTGAAGACAGATCATCTACTTTGCTATTTCACAGCCATTAATATTCAGAATAAGTCTCCCCAGGACATTCAAAAAGCTTAGACCTATAGCCACAGGTGTCTTAGAGGGCATATTTCATCAAAAAAAATTCAATGATTAGCAAAAATTTTATTTTACTTTTGCTTACAAACAAAGACTTAACTCCAGCACAACCTGAAAGGCTTTGCTTTCTAAAGATCATTTCTAGTCAATTTTTAAAAGTCCTTAAAGCAACAATTTTTATCTGTAAAACCACTCACCCTCCCACCCCTTAGTTGAAAACCAAGACTGGCGTTTTTTCAGCTCAGTGACTAGGTACTCAGCGTGCAGTCTTTTCCATAATTCTGGACTCCTGAGGAAGTTTCATAAAAATAAAAGTATTCATGGACCAAAATTAACAATATTATCAGTTAATTATCAATTACTTGATTTTTTTTTTTTTAAACAGCCATCACTGATTTTGAAATATTAAACAATACTTTTGGGAAAAGACTTTAAACTCTGACTAACATTTTTGATTACTTGATTTAGACCATGGCAGCACAGGTTTTCTTCATCCTAAAAACATGACTGTAAAATACTTCAGGACAGCTCCTATTTGCACGTTCTTCATTTAATGTGATATGCGGATTTCATATTTCATAGCAAAAATAAGATTAGAAAAATGTAAAAACCAATCAAAACAGAGCTATACAATTGTACTGAAATGGTACCAATATCAATTCCAGCATTAAGTATTTTTGCAATTTGGCCAAGTTTTGTCCAAAGAAACAAAATTAATCATCACTGCCGGCCTGCTTTTCCATTTTCCGTCGTTTCCATTCTGAAATGCAAAACAACAATTGGTAAGGCTTGTTATTGGAAATACAACCAACAGATTAAGAAAAAAAAAAATCAGACTTAAATATTTTTTTAATAAATAGTTTTTACTTCACTAACCATCCTGTCTCTCCCTGGCCCCAACATACACAATCTCCTCTTAATACTTCTTTAAGCAGCAATCAGTACATAAAGGAAAGGTTTCTGCGAAGAAACTTTCCAGCAACAACCACAAAAAGCTATCCATTACCAACCTCACCAAAAGACAAAAGCCCATATTCATGTGACTACAGAGAATCTATTTCTAAAATTTGAGCTTTAGCAGTTTGTTTCAAGGTCTTCATTTTCACCCTTCTTACACTGATCATTGAACTACTACCATCATATTTACTTAAGAGGAGGTTGGTTTGGTTTTTCAGTATTTTTTGGTAGAACATGGACTACTATCAACTTCATTACAGCACAGCATAAGATTCAACCACTCTATTATCGACAATATTTTTATATTAGCCATTCCTTTGGAAGTTAAAGCAACAGGCTGGCACAAGAAATCTCAACTTAGCTACCGTTTAACCCCCCGAAGTTTAAGTGCTTTGCTGCAAGGGCAATCATTAAGGCACAGGGAAGACCATTTATCAGCATTCAGCCTTGCTCAGCACAGATGCAAACAACGAAGAGCAAACACTACTGTAGTTCTCCATCAATACTGAGAGACAAAGGAATGTATTTATACATTTTAATCCTCAAAAGAGTAAGGAATCTTTTTAATGCTGTAACTGAAGTATTCCTCCATACTGCATATTGACAACTGCTAAGATAATTGTAGTGATGCATTTACAGATACAAACCCATTTTCTTCTTTCAGATGTTGATATAGCTCAGCTTTATTGTTGACAGAGTTCAAACGACCAATAAATTCCTGGTGTTTCCTAGAGTTGGCAGTATTAATCCTGTTGCTCCATAAAGACAGCAAGGACATTGGCCCTAAAATTGCAAGTAAAGAGTCTAAGTCATTTAATTTCTGCATTCTTAAACATTACATCATTATAAAAACTTAGAAGAAATTACAGACTATGGTAGTACAACATATTAAAACCACTAATATTAAACAACCTTACAACAGAGGCTAAATAAATACAAAATATGCAAAGTGATTACAGCTGAGTAGTTGCTTCACGAGGTTGACTTTGCTTCAAAAGCAGAATCTGAACATCAGCTCAGCCATTGCGACAGATGATAATAGCTCACACCAAGAAGAGAAGTCACAGAGAACTGCCTATTCCAACAACCATGGTGCTTAGCCATGTTTATATTCATTAGTCAGCAGGAGACAGTGATTTCTGACACCTGCCCTTAAACAGCATTTTCAACATACAGTAGCTCAAATAGCACCAGCAGAAATTTGTCCAACCCCCTGTCAACCCAAGTGCCTATCAGTAGACCCACACAGTATCTTGGTATCTCTCTTTTTACGTAGGCCTGTTGAGGTTAACATATTTATCAAGAATTTCTCAACATTGTTTAATTAAAAATTATCCTCACTGACTTAGCTTGAACTCCAAGAAGATTCATCTCATTACTTTAGAAAATAAAGATGGATACAACAGCTTCTATCTTTAAAAGAAATAATCTGTTGCAATTTTTCTGGTTTACCTTTTGCTTTTTCAACTGTGGGCATTTCATCCATGGTAATAAGAGGCTTTTTGTTGGGTGGCTCAGGAGAATCAGGGGAATCTTTGATAACTTCAGCTTCTGCTAGTTCTTCTTTTTCACGATCCAAAAGACCTTTTAACCTTTTTGAGAGGGAAGGAAAACAGTGAAGCAAAATATGCTAGAGCAGCACATATGATTCTTGATACCATTCTGCACTCCTCAAAGTTACACACAACCCATATCATAAGAAAATTTTTTTTTGACCCCTTGGGTGAAAAAGAGTAGGGAAGACTAGCCAAATAATCCTCTGGATAAAGCCTTAAGTAAAGGTAAGGGTCTTAAGATATAATTTCACTTAGTTTGCAGTATTTATATTGCAGTTGTTGAGACAGTTGATCATTCTGAATTTTGACGGAAAGACTAAGTAACAATGAGTATACAAAAATACCACACAATTTCCTATTATCTTTTCTACACGAATTCAGACCTATTCATTACCAAATCCCTCAGTCCCCGTTTTTGTTCCACATGTGAAAGTAAAAGCAATTGTAGGAATGGATTTGATCATACACAGAAAGGCATGAAAGGTCACTAGCATGGTGACAATGTTAGGTGAAAAGGTCCTCCTATCCTAAATGATCATAGCATGTACAAAATATACGCAAATTAAGCTTACTACCATGAGGGGTTTTTCATCTCATTAGAATAGTAGTTTGAAAGATGGAAAAGAGAAAAGACTGACAGATGCTTACCACTTAGACAAGTTACAATAACAACATGAATTACAGACAGTAATATACAGACAGATTGTACACAGACCATCAATCCTGACGTTCAACTAAAGAAGAGCCAAATCAATCTGGATTGTTTATCTACCTGAACACTAAACTATCTACAGCTCAAGAGAAAATAAGTGCCGGTCCCGAGTTTTTAGTCATGCTTTGTATTTCTATAAAGCAGTTTAATGTCTAATAGGTGATGTGGTTACAATAAAAACCAACACAGTGACTCCTGAAGCTGCAAAGCCCTGCTAAGTGGTGAATAACTTGTCCAAGAACCATACAGCTTGTAAAATATGTTAATTTGAAAAGTCTGATAAGCAGGCACTGTAATAAGATGCCCATTTCCCAAGCTTGGTAATGGTGACTGATCCAAAAAACCTTGGGATCCACACTCACTGATAGTAAGCCAAGGTTACAAGCATGAACACATCAAATCGAAACCTGCAACTGTTTCACCACAATTCCTCTCCCCTTTGAGGTAGGGCAGGACAAAAATGATTATGCTATAATTTTTATTTAACTTTAGAAAATTTACCTTTCTGTTTCTTGCCATGGCTTATCTGATTCATAGTCTTTGCCCAACTTCTCTGACTTGTCTTCTTTGTCTTCTCTCTTTCTACCTCGTTTCTTGCGCTCCTCTTCTTCTGGGGGTTTGCTTCTGCAAGCCATCAAACACTCTAAGACTCGCTGGTGTTTATCAGAGTTGTTTATGTGTGCTCGTACAAGGGTTTCCAATTCATTCCACATAATCCGGTACTGTTCATCTCTAAGCAAGGCCAGAAAAAAGACAGTACATACAGGATTACCTAGATCATTAAACCATTGAATAAATTAAGGTTAAAAAACAGACCTTAAGAAACAAAAAAAACCCAAAACAAAAAATAACTCCGAACAGATTCTCTGTCCTCTTGCACTGGAGGCCTATGCACCTGGGATTACTCCAGCCTTGAAACTTGAGACCACATTGCGTGTAACATTTCCCAATTAACATCAGAATTAAGTTTAAATTGAAATAGACTACGTCCACTGAAATAAAATTCTTAACTTCCACAAGATCTCACTGCCAAAAGGCACTTCTGAATCCTCTCAGGTGTTTGCTAACTATGCAATGTCAGGATATGCAAAGGGCCACTCGTACTGACATGCAAATTAATTACTATTTAATTCTTTGGATAAAAATTTAGAAAGAATTGTACCATGCTACTGTAAATAACTTCCAGTCATGTGGGCAAATCTTCTGTAGCTGAATTTCTTTTCAGCCAATTCTTGGAAATACAATGCATACATCACAGTGACTGAGATATCAGGATATTCTACACTTGTTTTAAAGGAGTAGCCCATATTTTAGATAACTGTTTCAAAAGGATCTGACTATTCTAATATAACCCAATTTTAAAGCATTTTTCATTTATAATATGCTTAAGTTTTCCTTTTTATTAATTTGAACTTATTCCACTTTCTCTGTCCTAGCTTGTATCAATCTCTTACCTTTCTTGATGACTACCTTTCTTTCATATTTTTTAACATACTCACAATTCTTGGGTAATAAAATGATGGATTTTTTTTTCCTAACATACAGCAGTATCAGTACTGTGATAGCCCCTAAATGATGCAGGCAAAGTATTCATAGCATTTGTTTTGCGTACGTACAGCATTTAGTTTACTACATATTACCTTTGGCCAAATTTTAAAAGTTTGGTATGAAAACAATGTCAATAGAATATTTCTGAAAAAAGCCCAGCATCAACAAAAAGAGATATGCATGTAACCTTTTTGGACCCTTTCCTCTGGTACCAACAGTAGAAATTGGCAGCGGATCATTTTTCCTCTCCATGTCTACCAAATTGTATATTGTTTTTTGACAATTCAGAACATCCTCATCAGTCATTGCTTCTTTTACAATCACACTGGCTAATGGCACTACCTGTAAGACAAAAGAAAAGTCAACAACGAGAAAATCTGTGTAGGTCGCAAGAGAGAAACAGGAAGAAAGAAATCAAAGGCAACGGAACCATGGAACACCACACAACAAAAACACCCCCTCTCATCCTCAATTGAGTAATAACTCAAGCAGGTATAAGCAGATGCATGTTTTCTTTACCCAGCAGCACTGTAGCTGTCAGGTTCAACTATTCCATCCTATTTAGATGGCATTCCAATAATCTATTGACATTAAATACAGAGTACTTAAGTGAAAATAAAGCTGAAAATAAACTGATTTTGTGGCAAGTGATTTCTCATAAAATAGAGTTAATATTTCCTCAAGTGGCAAGGTGAAACTTAATCTAGGACAGAATAAAAGGTTACAATCCCCAGGTTACTTACAGCTTGCATGTTGAAGATGGTAGTCTGAGAAATAATCATAGGCCAGTAACGAGTATGTTTCTCTAACTGATCTTTTGCACGTTCCAATGGAATTTCAAGACTTCCATCAATCTTACATCTGGGCTCTAGAAAAGGAGTTAATCGGTTTTCCCTCATAAATTCACCAAAATCCTAATGATAACCAAACAAGATACAATTAGGCATTTCTCTAACAAAGTAACTTTACTGAACTGGAGAAACAGCATAGTCTGGCTTATCACTAGCTGTGTACCATTCCCACCACTAAATTTGACCCTAACAACCAGAGCCCTGTTTCTAGCTTTCAGATGTACATTATTGAGGGTGAACACAGAAATAGTTGTATAAAAACATGGGTTAAAAACTGATGCAAGGTTTTTGATGAGGAGGCCTTCTGGATCTGCAAGGTATTTCATGTATGGTAAGAGTTTTATTATGTTTTTCTGGAAGCCACTTCTGCTTGTTTACAACTGATACAAAGGATGTGTTGAAAAAAATAAAGGAAAAAAGCCAAAATGAATGCCAGCTGATTGTCTGCTCCATATCCAGCATTCAAAGCTGACGGCTTCATCTTTTATATTTCTTGTACGAACCATTCACGTGCAATCTATCCTTCTGACAATAAGCAGGATATAGTCCTATGTGCATCCAGCCCACAGAAAAAACTTGCCAAGAAAAATGTTATTCTAGAATCAGAACAAACTTTAAATACTCATAGTGCATAAGGAGGCAAGTACTTCCTTGACACAGAAAGGATTCTATGAAGCAGGCATAACAATAAGCAAATGTACTTTGTACTAAATATGTATCAGTAGTACAAAGGAAAACAGTTTGACTATGCAATCCACTGCAGCTCTCCAGAAAACATACCAACATTTCCTTTACATATGTATTGCACTACATCTCGTCATCTAAGATAAGCAACAACTTAAGAAAAAAACCACACCAAAAATAAAAGAATCTTACTGTAATCCGGTAGTCAGTGACTCTTCCACCACACCCTTCGCTAATTGATGGGGGATCTTCTAGAATTGATCGTGAGCTGCTTAATACATGCAGAAAAATTTCTCCTCCATGGCTGCTGAGCATGTGACTAATTACTTTAGAGCCAGACTTGCGTGGCTGTTCCAACAAAACAGAACGACCTGTTGGAAATCAGATCAGTTTCATTAGTTACTGCATGCTGCAATTTTAAACTAAAAATTACATGTATACAATACAGGTTTGCACCTAGCCAGTAAGACTCTGAATCCATTAAAGTTCTGTTTTCCCCTAGCTGAATGAGAAACAACTATCTCCTTTGATCATTTACTCCTTGTCTTTACACAGAACATAGTGTCCTATGCTCTTAAATTTTACACAGAAAGATCAAAAAGCCTCTCTCCTGGACCAACCAATCACTTTCTCTGTAGGACATTATTCTTAGGAAAAATACATATTTGTAAGACATTAAAATGGTATATTGTGTAAGGGCAGTTTGTTATTTTTAATTATTACAGATTATGTTGTACACTAAACTTATTTGGGAGAAACTAAACTGGGAGAAACTCTCTCATTAAAAGCAATTTCTAAAAAGTAACAAAGCCTACTTGAGTATAAAGGTATCAATTGATACTATTTGTTAATGCCTAAAATGGATACTGTTTTTCAGACAGAGAAATAAAACTGTCTGTCTTATTTCCAGTAAAATACACTAAGCATAAAAGGGTGCATTCTCCAAATAAGTTGTTTGTAATGAGGAAGTAAAAATAGAAGATCAGAAGAGAGTGGTTATCTGAAATATTAATTTTGGTTCTAACCATTTTTATTAATCGAAGTACTTTTTCAGTACAGAATCTTTAGAGAAAAATACATAAAAATAGTGTTTAATAAAACCACTGCACATTTATTTGGACATTCAAATTACTTTACTGAAGAAAACATCCCATTAAAAGGATGTTTGTATGCAATTTTGTTTGCAAACTGTAAAAAACCCCACATGTAATTAACATTGACTATATATTACTTGTGTGGAAGAAACAGGCTTACCTTTTTAACAAAGGAAGCTTTGGCTTACCTTTTTAACATGTATTTAAATGGCAACCTCTTATAGGAAGATTACTCATGGAAATGGGCAAGATCTTGCAGATACGCAAAAGATAACCAAATCTAACCTACTTTTTGACCAATCTCAGTACACATAGGTATGTCTGCATCAATTGACCAACATACTTTGTTGGTCATAACCCAGTTAAAAGAGCTTTCTGAGGCTGCCCAGCATCTGCTAAAAATCAGGCATAGACAGAAGTTGCTAATATTTTGCAATAGTCAGAGTAAGCATTGTGATCAAGTGCACTATCACCTACCGAAAGCAGTGTTTCCTACTAAATAGCATAAAGTGAAAAGTATTCTACATTTGGATTCAGAAAAGCACTACCCAAATTCAATACTTGCTCCTTCTTTACATCTTTCCTCCCATATTCAAGTTTCAAAACACATTCCATTTGCCTGTGAGTACATTTAACAACTTTCTTCTCTTATTTATATGACATGTTAAAAGAAACTTGACATTTTTACAGTACATAGACATTTACTGCTATACAAACCAAAATGCAGTAAGTGCTCTATTCACAATATTAACAATTAAAACATTAATTAATTAGCCAAGGACACAAATTTACCATTAAGGAGAAAGTTAGTAAGGCATGAAGAAGGTCTGCTATTTACATCTACTGGTGAAATTCTGTACGCTCCAGTGCAATAGTGTAATTCTGAAAAATAAATGAGTAGAAAAGTTGAGAGTGTAGTTGCACATACAGAAAAAACATCCCACAAAATAAAAGAAAGGAAGAGGAAGAGGCTATTCCACAATCAGCAGAACTAAAAAGTCTAGCTGTCTCTCGATCTAAAAGTCTGCTCCTTTCACCATCTCCTCACAATCATTCCAGTACCCTCAACTCCGAGAACCTAATACATTCCCAAGCCCTATTTCCAGCAGGACCTCCAGTTCTTTATCTCCTGAATTATTTCACTGTAGAGTCAGCCTCCTCTTATTTCTCTCATCCATATTTTTGACCTGCTGGTTCAAAGAGTCAACATATCTTGCTGATAGTCTACAGGGTGCATGAGCTGAATGGTTCCTATGTTACCCCAAATTTTCCCCGTCTTTCTCTCCTTTACTCAGATTTGGGTAGAGATCTCTCCTTTACTCAGATTTGAAAGTTAATACAGAGGGAATAGTCTACTGATAGTATCATTGCATTCATTTAATTTCCTTACAAAGCTTTTTACTTAGCACGCTAAAGATTACACTAAAGATAGTACTTTGATACACACCTCCGCCCCGAAAGGAGAATTAAAACCAGAAAAGATTCAATGTCTTAAAGCTGCTGTGTTAAAAAACCATCACTCTGGAACTGACAAGGTACACTTGGCCCTGTGGGAGGGGCAAATAATTACTGAACATTGTAGTCACGGAAAAACTTCATGATACTTAGGAGGAGATTGAAAAAAGCCACCAAGAAAAACATTACTACCCCTCTCACCTCTTACACAAACCACTGATTAGCCAAGGTCGGGAGAGCATCATACGACCATTAGTAAAGCAAGGTGCAGTCAGCAGCAAGGTTTATAGAGGAAAAGGTAAAACCAGCATTAACAAGAAGCGAATTACCTCCTTGTTCAGATTCTTATCCATGTATGGAGAGAACAGTGTTCAACACAAGTTAGAATATCAGTTTTGTAAGATACCATGTTACCTACCCACACTATTTGTTCGAGGAGTACACCATTTTAATGTTACAGTTTCTTTAAATGTGCCTTCTCTGCTATTGCCACCTGTATGATTATCACCTGCAATATAAAGTCAAAAAAAGTGCGTGATCCACCATATTTCCTTTACTACAGCAAAAAACTAAACCTTTAAGGTACAAAATATTTATAACATGAGCATACACGAAATATAATCTAAGTTTAAAAAGTTATATATCTAACTTCAGCAAAAAAAGTTATTAGCAGTGGCAGTTGAAAAAATAACCTTTTAAAATCAGCCACCATTGTATATATTTTAAAAACCAATTCAGCAAACAAAATACCGCAGCTCCAGAGTATGTTCCATAGGTTTGATTCAACATTTAGAAAATTATAGATATGTTTCGCTTTATCTTAACAGGCAATTTTTTTCTTCTAAAATGCCTAGGACTTCAAGACAGTATTTTCCACACAGAAATCAGAACCCTTATAAACGTTAGAGCTGATCACTTCTCCTACATATTACATCCCAAAGTCAAAACTGAAACTGATCTAAAGAAACATTTGACAAGTTGGGCTTTTGGGGGAGAAAAGTATTTGGTCTCATCATCCAGTATCTTTGCTTTGTCAGATTCAGTCTGAACATTTCTCAACATGTTTTACTGGCCGTAGATGTTTTATCATTAAATACTTTCATACAACACCTCACTAATAACTGGTCTGGCAAAAACCACCTGAAGGCCTTAAAACAGACATTATCAATACTCCTTAATACATTAAACTGTTTCTGCAGGTGAGTTTTGCAATTCTTCATGATCTTTGATTCATATTACCTCAGGAAATAATTGAGTTTTGCATGAAGTTCCAGAATTTCAGTAGCATAGTCACTTAATATGCTCGAATCCACAATAATTGGCAGGAATAAGACACATACATCAACACACAACATTGTATGTAATATGTCAGGATTTAGTCTAATCTTTCATGCAAGAAATATGTTAGGATTTAGTCTAATCTTTCATGCAAGAAGTTTTCTTTTATTTCATATCAAAGACATTTACTCATAAAAGATTTGTTTGATTTGCTTATTAATCATGCAGGTAACTTGCAAAAGTTGATTTTTTTCAGTTAAAATAACTGGAATTATTTTAGAAAGTCTCTCTCAGAATATCTAAAGGCCAAACTTATTTAATCTAAAAATTCTCTAGCAACATTTCACAGAAATAAGATCAATGTAACTGAATTTCTACTTTCCCAGCACCAGAGCTATTACAGCCAAAAGATTTATTTAAAAACAAATAAAAGAAACCAAAATTTACAGGATCTAAGAACAGACTTTTTCCTCTCAAAGTTCTGATGGAAAAAATTTTAAGAGAAATTGCAGTTGGAGTTTGCTTTTGGCTTTTACTAGCAGACTTATTCCTTGAGCCAACAGGTATTACAAACTATTTCTGAGTGCTTACAATAAAGTTTTATGCTTTCAACATAGTTCAGGTGACTCTGAATTCATTACTGTAACATCCTATTCTTTTTCCTCAATCTTTAATCATACACTCCACTAACATGTGGAGCACAGTAATTACAGATGATAATGAGGAGTTACCTTCTTTTCCTCAAAGTAATGGTAATCCCCTTAAGAGAAAACAAAGCACAAACTCCCTAAAACAGCTACTTACAGACCACGTGATTTCAAACTTCAGAAAGAAATATCCACTCTTTGTTCAATAACTCTGATATAACTCATTTGTTAAATTCTTCAATTCTTAGAAGTTAAACCACCATCAACTTTCTAATATGCTTTAAAACTATGTAATATAGTTTCGAGAGTAAAAACAAATATCTACAGCCTACATCTAAATACATAGACTAAGCTTTTAATGGTACTGAATCATAACAGAAGTTACAATCAATGCAGTAAGAGAAAACAAAACATATACAAGCCTTTAAAAGCTTCAAATGAGACTTCAGCACTGAAAAGGCATACAGTCTAAGTATTCCATAACACACTGGCACAAGCTGAGGGCTTTTTCACTGCTTGGCTTTGCTTTTAATTCTACTAATGCAGAATTTTTAGCCTGACTTATTAACGAAGTTTTACATCAAGCACTGCTTCCTGAACAAAAAAGTTTTGCATAAGGCTTACTGTTGTGTTTTTCTAACCTCAGTTGAGTTATTAAAAAATTCACCTCAGAGGAATACTAGGTAATAATTCCAAATTTACAAAAAGGATACTAGGTATTTCAAATACAAGAAAGCTCAAAAGCCAAATAACTATTGTCTTTTCCAAAGCAATTACTGTCAAACAGGCCTATGGGATGTAAGTGATGTCAACTATTATTATTTAACAGACAAGATTAAAAGTTCAATCGTGCAAGGAATAATTTTATACAAATACCCACAAGAGATACTTTCTTTTGTAAAATCACTGCAGATCTGGTCTCTCATCTACTTTTTATCTCTCAATAAGAAGCTGACATGCCCCTCAAATCTCACACAAATATCCCGAACGTATGTGAGAAACCTCTGATTAATTTGACCTGTTTTTTCATTGTTATATCCTTATTACTGTATTAAAATATGCCAGTAATCAATAAAACTCCAATGCCAACATTACAAATCAAGTTCTTGGGTTGTAAGGAATAACTGAAAATATGCTAATCATGCCTGAAGTTTACATCAATTTGAAGCTTGCAATTTGCAATCTTTCTTTGTGAATAGTTCCAGCAGGCTGATCAAAAGCCACTTTTATAGGACTATTTCTACTTACCACTCTTTAAAAAGTCAACATGTGCCTCTTTGTGATGAAGAAGCTCTACATCATAGTTGGCTGATGTGTTAGCATGTTGTTCTTCCTTCAAAAGAGAAAGGTAGAAAGAATAATATAATTATTTTAGCTAGAGGTCACTATTTTCATAAACGAATGATTCCACATTTACCTTTCACTCCAGAAGAAAACAAAAAGTCTCCAAAGTGCATCAGACAACAACGGGATTGCAATGTTGAAACTGTTTGCTCTCTGACCTGTTTAAAGATGCAACCATCTACTTTTCCTTTTTTCCTTTTTTGAAACCCTATGGTTTCCTCTTTATACAAATGTCATGATGGGGTGCATAGTGTAAAATATAGGTAAAAAATAGGCTTAACTGCTTTTTTTTAAATTAGTGAAGTCAAGGAAGCCTATGACATATTGAATACCACCAGCAGTTACAACTTACTGAGCAGCAACACATGGTCACTGCAGAATAGATTGCAATTACTTTTCATAACTAAAAATATCAAAAATCCAAACCTAAAAACACACTTTGAACTTATTATCATTTCCTTGTACTTGAGAAGTGTATTTGCAGCTGCAAGTTTACAATTTAAAAAAAAAAAATCAATGTTTGTAAAGAGGACACTGCATCTTTAAACAGCTGCAGAGGACTAGCGAAAACAGAACAGCAACCTTGGTAATTTATTCCAAGTTAAAAAAAAAAAGAAAAAACCACAGAAAACCCAACATAGTCTATTACTATAAGGACAAAGGCAGAAGGGAGAGGCATACCAGCAGCACACAGGTCAAAAAGTTACAGACAAGGTATTTGCAAACTTAAGTCACATTTATGCCATGACCCATGTCAAAGTTTCATTAAAGCTGTGAAAATAATTTTTAATTTCATGTTTTAACTTATAAAATCCATACAACATTGCTAGTTTTCAAAGATGAAAGTAATGATTGACAGTATTAGAACTTGATGAATTTTTTAAATCAGAAGAGTTTATCTGCCCCTGCCCTTTTTGTTTGTTTGAATACTGACACTTGTTTCAATTGTCTCTTGCTGCCTGATCAAAAAATTACTGTAAACTTAATAATACTTGAAACTTTTAGTTGCACTGATTTCCCTCCCAGTAGCAATAAAAAAAAATATTAAAAATAGGGACATAAACAACTTTGAACAGAAGATGTTTAATTTAATATCTTTCTTAACTAGATATATCCTCTGTCCCCCTGTTTCTGGTTTATGGATCTTCAAACTGAAAAACCTACTGGAAAACCTTTAGTCAAAAATCAGTTAGTAGTTACAAACACCTTTATGTTGGGTGGGCATGATAATGAAACAGAGGAAAAAGAGACTCACTATGCCACTATAATGCACAAGGGTCAAGAATATCTAAACACAGCTAGAAAAAGACAAAAGAATCACAGACAAAGTAATCTGAGGTAAATAAGATTGTATTTATATAAAATAATACAAACAGAACTGAAATAACACTTGTATTGCTACATCAAAAATTGAGATTCAGCAATACAACATTTTGTTCTGTGATCCTTCTTTACTTTTTTTTCCCCTTTATTTTTACTAACCTGGTCACAGACATTGAATGTGGGCTAATAAAAAAACAAAACAGAAAATATGATATGGAGAGAAAAACAATGTAAAAATTCAATTAAAATAAACATTAAGAGTTTTCAAACAAATTTAGAAGTGATGCAGCTAGTTAACACAAAGCTATAGACACAATATTACCTTCATAGGAATGTTAGTTATTGTGGTTGAAGCCAGATCAAAGTGCTGTTGTACTAAAACATTCAGTTTTGTAGCCAGATGCCGTCCCGCACGGACACTGTGCACTTCACTGGTTAAAACAGGTGAAAGCTAAAATAAATTGACATAGAGTATACAGTATTATGGATTAGGCTCTAGTATCATGTAACAGTATTATTCATTTGAAACTAAAATAAGTACATTTATACCGCTAAATTTGACTAGATGGAAAACTACCACCCAAAAAACCCACACCATTGGAAGCTAAGAAGGAAGAAGCAAAAATTATTTCTCATTCAGAATTTTGCAGGTTATGCCAGTTGTTATAGTTACAGTTGCTACAAACTGTCAAAAAATTAGAAGCGTTATAAAAAACTTGAGTCATTAATTGTTAACAGGAAGAATTAGTATCACAACATGGGGAAGAAATCCTCTTAATAGCAGCTCTGGGCCTAGTTTTTCGCTCTTTTACCTGGTAACAGGAGCAAAGTAATTTTTATATACCTACCTGTAAGTGCATCATGTATACACAAGAGAAACAAACCCAAGCCATAAGATGCATTTGGTTTTTCCCTAGCCAACAAGGACATTGGTTTTAGGCTTTTGAAAAAAATAAAACCAAAACAAACAGTGATAAGGATAACTGTCTTACAGAGGAAAGTAGTAGTCAATTTATTCTCTTCTGTTCACATTTTTTAATTTTTTAGCACAACTACAAAAGAGTTCTGTAGAAAAGAATCTCAGGAAGGTAGCTATTATAGTCCTTTTTATTTATGAAATAATATGCAGCACTAGATGCCTTTCATGTTAACAAGACTTTTTTCCTTGTGTCACATTAAAATACTGAGCAGAGCAGACTGATGAAGAGCAGAATATACTAGAAAATATTTTGTATGTACTTGGTTTCAAACAACCACCACTAAGCATACAAGTCCACAGAGCACATGTGCTTTTGTAACTGAACAACTGAGATGTTAATATATAGAATAATTTCTTACATGCATCCTTTCACCTTTTTGTAAAATAATCTTTAAAAGTACCTGTACGGTACTTCAAATATTTGATGAACTTCAAGCATATTCTACTTCCCTACAACGTATTACCCTTTCACTTGGAAGGAGATACGCTTTCCAATGCTTTTCATTAAAAAGGCATTCTGTTTGCTAACACTGGATCAACAGAATTTATACACAAAAGCTCCTTTTGGCTTCATGAGAAAACCATTCAATCAAAAGGCTAAAAATGCTAACATTCGGACTCGGTGATCTTAAAGGTCTTTTCAACCTAAACAATTCTATGATTCTAGATAGTCTGGATAACATGGAACACACAGTGCTGAATATCCACATCATTCAGTAATAGATATTTGGGAAAACAGGGCTTGTGCTAGCTAGCGGCTTATGCTTGAACAGCAGGAACTATTCAACTAACTATTCAACACACCAAGTAGTTGATGGTTTTCCACTCGGTTCCTAAATGTGCATTTCCTTCTCAAAAAAAAACATCAAACCCAAGATTATCGTTCTATGGCATTGATGGGCTTACTTCACAAAAAAAAGAATCATGAATTATTAATGCAAGAAATTTAAGTAATGAAATAAAAAGGAGGATACCATATATGCACAAAGACTACAAAACAAGAAAACAAAACATGCACTTTAGATAGCAATATGCAGGCTGTCAACTTCTCAAAGAATTATCACCTGTACTTTTTCCTACACCTTCCCAGAGACCAGAGGCTCAAAACGTTATTGCTGAATAATTTGCACTATTTTGAGTCTGACATAGTTCCTAACCCTTGGATAAGTTTTCTAATTTTAAGCTCCTTACCTCTTTTTTAGGACGATCTGAAACAAGGCTGTCTTCACCAACTGGGTAAGTGTGGATTAAGACCAATTCACATTTCTGAATCTGCATTAGACTTAAAAATAAAAACATTCTATTTAGCCTACAGTGTGGCAGACTGTCTCCCAGAAATTAGATCAATTCTTCTAAAATTTGTCTGATTTCCAGAACACAGAATCATAAAGATATATTACAACATACTGTTTCTGAAAGCACTCTGTAGAAACTAGGTTACATTAATGATTTTCAAAAGCACAGACTTCAAAATAGGTTTTTATCAGAATAGGAAAAAGGTGTAACATTTCTAGCTCTTCAGATGCTATTGCTCTGTGTTTCTTTTTTGACGTATCAATGGAATAGATCCTTAATTGGTGTAATCTGTTCAGCTTCATTCAACTGAAAATTGACACCACACAGGATTTGTGTCTCCAAGTGTGTGCGCAGGTATAAGGGGTTTCCAGTGAACATGAAAACAACTACCCAAATAGCATGTTTATCTCCTAATGCGGCTGGAAATTCGGAGAGATCAAGACATTGTTCCACATCTCTACCTACAGGAATGAGACCACTTTTCTGTCTTTACAGTGGACTTAGAACCTGATTCCCTGGGGCAGTATCCTTTCTACATACATGAAACTGCAATTGCAGCAGGTAAATATAGGAGACTCCGGCTTCTGCTATTCAAGTGCCTAAGGAGCAAACAAGAATAGGATTCTCAATCTACTATACACTTTACAAGGCAATACACAGTCCCTGGGCCAAACAGTTCACTGTTTAATTAGACAAAACATATGGTGGAAAAATGACTTCTCAGAGGAGGTGCAACCTGTATTTCAAGAGATTCCTTTATCTCAAGGGAAGTGTCAGGCAACACAATAATTTAGAAATTAAAAACTAGTTTCGAAGAAGTTAACTATTTTAGTTGAAGAAAGATGAATGTACAATTAATGCAGTGTTATCAAGAAAAAAGCATCAGATGCATTTCTGATTACAAATATACAGTATATAACAAGGCACAGTTACATGTCTCATTTCAGAGCAAGATGTAGAAGGTAACAACCTAAAGAAATACTGTCCTACGAGGATAAAGGATGAGACTGAAAAGCTAATGATTATACACCAGCTCTAAGTCAACAATATCATGATTTAACACCTTCTATTTCACGCAGGCATTCATTCAAACAGTTCATTAGAATAACTTTTAAGTGACAAAAATACATCCATATTTCATAAAGGATATAACAGGTATGTGCAGAATAAGAGAAACGATGTTTGAAAAGTATACTCACTGATCTGAATTAGCTGCAAGCTTGTTATGCTCATGAATGGTTTCCTGAACACAATCCTCAAGCATCCGAACGTGACTGTCACTAGAAAGAAATTTTGTTGGTTTTTTTTATGCAGGATAATCAATCCTCCTGTTCAAAGCAACAGGCCACTAAATGCTCTCCTATTTCAAGTGGGAAATTTTTAGTTTGTTACTGTAACAGACCTCCGTAAATGAAACCTTTAATAAGGCAAGAAATGATCTAACAAAGAACGCAAAAAAGTTAGCTACTTAGAGCACTAATTCATGACAATCAGAGACTTCTAAAAATGTATGAAATAACTTTTGTTTTTAAATGGTAGAAGCACATTATCATACATACCTTTTCGCATTAGTAATACAGATTATTCTTCCTCTGTTTCCAACACGTTCTGCATTCTCCATGAGCATGGTTCGAGCCTCATGCTGGTATTCTGTTATTTTGCAGAGTGCTTCAACTGCTGCAACCAGACCATGAAGTATGCTGCAGCACTCTGGATCTGCCCGAGGATTAGGTGGCCCGACAGCTGCTAATGCTGCCATCAACTAGTTAAAAAGAAAGAAATAAATTATTATTGAAAGTTACTTTCCAGCCATCTGTTAAAATGATTAGTTAAGAGAAAAGTCATCATTATAACTTATTTTACATGCAAATTAATATTGTTCGGAGAAAACCAAACACAGCAATTAAAGACCACTATATGTTGCTAGCCTTCTGGAAAACATTTGGCCCTCAATTATCCTTTGCAATTCATTTATTAATTGTTACTAAGCCTTGAGAATATAATATCCTCATTTATTACGGAAAAATACCTGGTTATAATAACAAGTTATATCCAATACCTGAAAGAAACTAACATTATCGGTTGCCACCTGCTTTTATTTTCTGAGAATTTGGAAATTCGGTTCCTCCCCAAAGTAAATTTTTCAGAGGACAAGGTCATTCAGTATGAAACAAAACGAGAGCAAAGAGGATATTTACAATTTTTTTTAACACGATTTATTTGCTTATCATGCAAATGAAAAAAAAATCAAAATTCAAGAAATATCACCAAATTACAGAAAAAATACATAGGTAATTTCTTCATAACATTTATTTTAATATATAACTCTATAGTCAAGGCTACTGGATCCTTTTTAAATTATGTAAAGCTGCCCATAGAATAGTCTGGCCTCACAGGCTACTACTTAAAATTCTGTTACGCAATAATTTCAGACCAGATCCACCAGCATATTAATTAACCAAAGTTATTTCATACTGAACATAGTAAGAAGCTGCTATTTATTCCACAATTAAACTAGACTTACAAAACAAAAGAACAGTTACGAAGCATACCTCCTGCAAGTTCTGATCTTCTTGAGTCCAAGAATTCAAGACATGAGCCCCAGAATCACTCACAATGAAATTCACCTATAAGGATCAAAAAAGCACATGTAAGATAACAGCCAATCATACAGATAACAGCCATTATGGGTAATTCCCCAAATCCAAACAAACATGAATTACACCTCTTTCTTCTGATACTCTGGAGATATGTGCAATGATAAGCCAAACTAAAAATAAGACAACAAACCCACAAAAAGCATCCACTCCTGCTATATTCAGTTACCCCTTCAGTAACATTATGATTAACAACTTATCTATTTATATTTTTAAGCCACTAAAACAGTCTCTACACCAAATTGGCATTGCAGGATATTATGAAGTATTTTAATAATTCGGTAATATTTTCAGTAGAATAAACACAAAATAAAAATTTCTAATACTGCAATATTGCAAATCATTCTCCAAAGACTGTCACAGTAGATCACAGGAGTAAATATCTAGCAAGATTTAATAAACATCACATAGCAAATTATGTTCTAAAGGTGCAAAAAAGTCAAGAGGAAGCACGCCTTCCATCTCAATTGCAGTTTCTCATACCACACAAGCCAACTGATTCAAATCCATTAAGCATACACTTGAAATAATCTCATAATGGGACTTGATTGTCTATTAAATGCTCTAAACTAGAGTCCAAATTAAACATTCATTGCCTGAGAACCAGCACATGCAATCCATCAAGGCAGTGCGGTTGATGTGCATGAAATCATTGAACTACCGGAGGTATTTGTTAGCGGCCAGCCTCCACCTCCGCTGCTCTCTGACACAGCCAGTATTCCACCATCACTACTTTGTACCAATATCACTGTCACAAGGTTGTTTAACTTCCTTTTTTTTAAGGGTAACTAACCTTTAGGACATTGCACAATGGTTTATTCAATAATGAGAAAAGATCTAAAAAAACAGGCATTAGTTACCTTAATTTATGATACAATGTTACAGAACCCACCAGGCATTTATTTTTCTAAACAAGGACCTATGTGCCAGGAAGCTCTCCCACTTTTTCAAACTGGTAGCTTCAAGGCGATCCTACCTCTTCCTAAAGCACAGAATTCCTTCCAAGTTGATACCAAAAACCTTACGAAGTGCTACTAAGTGTGTTTAGAAACAAAATTCTATTTGAAGCAATACCTCACTCATGCTTTTGTAAACTTACAGGTCAGGAGAACACAATAATAAATCTGTAAGTTACCTTAAAGCACCTCTCCATGTTTTGCACTGAGTTACAAAGTGAGATTAAGACAATGAAAGGTCCCCAGAATAAATATCACCATCCCTGGAAGTATTTAAAAGACACGTAGATGAGGCGCTTAGGGACATGGTTTAGTGTTGGGTTAACGGTTGGACTTGATGATCTTAGAGGTCTTTTCCAACCTTAATGATTCTATGATTCTATAATATGTAACGGGATTCAAATACTCAAACCAATTTAAACAGCTATAAAGTGTATCAACAGCATGAAGAAATTCTTACATAATAAATTTTATTTGATCTTTTAATCTAACCAACAGCTAATGGTATTTTTTAAAGACTTCGTTAAAATGGGAAAATATCCCTTATACTATCAAGTATCACATGCAGTATGGCTAGAAGAACTTACCAGTTTCTTGAAAGGGAAAATATCGTACATTATTCTACAGTACTCCATGGATGATTCCACTGAACAGGTCCATAGTGATTTTGAGATGGGTGCTAGAGGTATAATTCCTTGGGTCCGATTCTTCACTAACATATCGAATTCAACATGTTGTCTGCAGGATTCTGCCATATATGGGCAGTGATCCACAACAAAAACAGTTTTATGAGACTCAGAAAAGATTTTCATTTTCTTCCTAAAAGAAACACATATTAAAATCAGAAAGAAATTGTACAAGCAAAAAAATCGCATCACAAGACTACTATGCAATTTATATAGTATAAAATTATCTTACTAAAATATGCAGGTTTTAAAGAGGTTACCTCTTACAGTATTTAGATAATATATTGCATACATTAGCTCCTACAAAAGTGTTAAGCTTTTAAAAAACCTACAAAAATTCCCATTTTAAGAATCTATTTACATGGGGACAAATATCCTCTAGAACTCTTACTAGTCCCTATATTTAGTATACTAGATTTCTAATCAGAAGAAACTGCTTTTTCTCAGGAGGAAAAAAAAAATAGAAAATGTGAAAGTATACTATTGAAAAGGCAACAATGATGCACAGTATTACGCTCCCCGGTTTTCTAATTAAAAGAAACTTTTAAGAAAAAAGTACAGAAACTGCTTCCTATTTATTTCCTAAAATAAGCAACATGGGAAAAAAAAAATTTATGATTAGGCTATACAGACCTTGAAGTAGCATAAACATCAGACTTTTAAGGAGATTTTCAGCCTTCACTTTGCTAGGTACATCCTTCTATTTTTAAATGAATATTTGCATCTGTACTTTGATCTCTCACTGACAGACATACCAAGTCTGAAATCAGAATGCAAATGTTTCTTATCCAACAAGACTCACAGGAGCACCCCTTGTACTCTTCCCAACTATGAAGCCTGAGAACCCTGCAATGAAGTGTGGTGCATTTTCCTGTTTCACATCGATAGACCGGGTTTCCCTCTCCTACAGCATCACTGAAAGAAATACTTTTGAAGCAACTATAACATCAAATCCTCGTGTTAGGGCGGACATCATAACTTGGAGACGCAAGCTACTAATGCTACTAATCTTAGACCAAACACTCCTCATCAAACTTATTCAACTTCTAGATGTTTCCATAACGTCTCTAGTATAAAAATCTATTTCGTCCACGCAGATGCTGTTGAACTACAGAATGCGCAAAACCAAAAAATATATACCAGCTTATTTAAAAAACTAAAATACTGAAATAATGAGGATTTACGCAAGTCAGGCTGCGGGCAGCATCTCGCTCTGGGGGGGGCAGGTTTCGCACCCGCCCTCAGCAGCAGCTGCAGCTGCCGGGGCCACACTATACC